TCAGGGACACCTGGACAGGTCTCCAGTCCATCAGGGACACCTGGACAGGTCTCCAGTCCATCAGGGACACCTGGATAGGTCACAGACAAAGAGACAAACAACCATCCTCATTCACACATGGTCTCACAGAAGTGCTCCAAAAGAGGTTCAAACAGAGAACTCTGGACTCAGATCCACCTGCTGCTGTACAGAGTTCTGATCATTTATTATTAATAATGATAATTTATCATAGTAAATTATTATAAATAGTTATCATGATGAGTCTTTAACATTAAGATGTAATCAGGCAGTCAAATATTCACGTGTGTGAATTTATTGCTAATATAATTGTAGGTGAGCTGTGTAAATTTGGAAAATTGTTTGCATCAAACAAGCAGTCCTTTGTATTGCTCTGTAAACCCTGAAGAAGCTCCCAGTCTCAAAAAGCTGGGTGACCCCTGTCCTACAACAATACCCACAATTTGTGCTTTTGGTTTTAGAGACTGTAACAGACATTTTATGCAGACGCAGCAACCGTTTGTTCTGTAGCACCAGTGCTTTGAGCTACAAATGTTAACGTTTAGCCCTGATAGTGTGAGAAAAAGATGAAAATTTTAAACAAATAATATGAAAAAGTGATGAAAATACAGTCAAAAACAAGTCAACAATATAAAGATTTATTTCTAAGTGTAATTATTTCCCCTTTTCCTTTTACCTTTATTATAATTGAAAGTTGTAAAAGTATGTGTTTTTATAAATACATTTAAATACTTTATTTATTGCATTAAACCACATATTTTGTTTTGCTTTATAATTGTCTGTCTGGTTTCCTTGTGCTTTTCAGTTACATTTTCTCCATTTTATCTTTTATATTTAAAGCTTTTCAGTTGCGTTTTTTTCCCCATGCATCTTGTTCATCTAGGTGTTTCCCTTTGTTTACATATTTATTAAAAATTTCTGTAGTTATTGTCAAGTGGAACTAATGACCATGGGCTTCTTCCAGTAAACAGTTGAATAAATAGTTAGATGACTTCATCAAATGTTCCATCTTTTGTACAAAAACAATGTGACAGTGTTCAACTCGAAGTTTTGTTTTTATTTTACCAAACATAAGTGGTACCAGTTTATTAAACCAATGGCTGATAAATTTGTTTTGCATATAACATCAACCTGCTACCATCTGCCTTCAGGCCTGGAAAAATGAAGATGTAGTCATGTTTAATGTGTGTAATTTGTTATGGTCTGCATCAGGGGTTTCCAAAGTTGGGGTCAGCACCTCTTATTGGGTCATGAAATATTAAAGTGCCTGTGACATGCCTATCCTTCAAATACAAAAAGTCAAAGAAAACATCTTTATGCGAAAACTGGCATAGTACACATGATTTTACACATTTTGTCTCATAACTGGCCTATTTTCTTTTGAATTTGGCTCAGCCAAAGTGAAACAGGAAGTGACATCAAAAAGGAACTCTCTAATAA